GCCAGGGCCTGGAGCAGCCTGGGCTGGTGGAGGTGTCCCTGCCCATGGCAGGGGTTGGACTGGGGGAGCTTTAAGGTCCCTTCCAACCTAAACCATTCTATGATTCTGTGACTTGTGGGACTAGGTTGCAAGAGAGGGAAAAGACCTCCTCATGCTAGAATTTTGGTTTAATAAGTACTTAGTAGGATGGCTTGGAAAAGGAGAGCCTGTAGCTCAGCTTCAGCCACTCAAGGCACTGATGGCATTTAATGGATTTAAATTACTTCTTGCTGAGAATATTGTTATTTTTGTAAAAAAAAATAGTATCTAGACAGTAAGAAGATGTTTTATTGCGAGATACACAGAATATTGTAACATATATATATATATATGTTATATATATGTATATATATGAATAATAAATACTCTAGTTGTGACATTTTAAGATTCCTCTCTAGTTACTGGTAAACAGACCTGATTTCTGAAAATGAGAATGCTATTGTGATTGAGGGATTACTATACTTATTCTGTTCTAATAAATAAAATATTTGTATGATACTAAGACTCTAAATAATTTACATAGAGTACACAACTCAGTATGTATTGTATTCTAATAAGTGAAGGAGATCGGGATAATACTGAACACACAAGTAGCAGTCAAGGTTCGTGTTCCCATGAGAACAGATCTTCGTAAAAAGCAAACAAAGAGAATAAACCTATAGTGAGAGGATTTTGATTTCGAGGTTCTGCAAACTGTAAAGTTCAAGATAAATGCATTGAGCTGAACATCTCGGCTAAGCTCAAATAAACATCTTGAATGCCTTTTTCACAACTACAGAGCAAAGGTATTTGAATACCAACACACTGCATGATCAGTAGCCACAACAAGCAATTCCAATTTGCACTTGATAATCTTGTACTTATTGTGAGGGTTTGCCCAGGTCAAAGCTCTTCCTACTTCTCCACCGTAGCAATTTGATAAAGTTAAGACTTGCATTGAAGACTTTGTCATGTTGAAAAACCATCTTGTAGAATGTATCAATGGGCAGATCTCCATTTGGATCTGCATATTTCAGAGTTGTCATCGGAGTGTACAAGGTGTTGGTCTGATGGCGAAAAGGTGGATTTTCTGCAAGAATTATCTTCACTGTGTGCTGTCAAGAACAAGACATAAAATTATTAAAGACCCTTTGCCAAAACAATAAAACAAAAAAACCTTAGTTTTCAGTTAAGCAGAGGAAAAGTGGAAGAATAAAGTGCTAGGATTATGTGAAGCCTGGTATGGAATTTTATTAGAAATTTCTTTAGAAATCTTTCTTAAAATATTTTTAAGGCCATCAAAAGAACTCACTTATTCTTAAACCTATTTCTGTTTATCAGTACCAAGGTGATAGCACCTTACATCTAAGTATCCTGAATAGTTCTCCAAAATTATCCTCACATGCTCACAATTGGTAGATCCTTTTTTTACAGTTCACTGGGAAAGAAGGGGAACTGTGCACTTTGCAACAAGAAGTGGGAACCTTCTGTTGACACCAGAGCTATTCCTTAACGGTAAGCACCTGAAATGATTGTCCCCTTCCACAGCTTGCCTAAACTTGTCTTCCTGCAGGAAGCCCCAAGCACCAGAAACTACATCCATGTATCTTCTGTTGTGCCTTGGTGGTCAGGGGTAGCTGAGTGGACTTCACATTAACAGAGGGATTACTAATAAGTAATTAGAGTAAGGAAGGGAAAGCTGCTTTAAACAGTGGTGGGAACCTTGTGTAGATGCATGGTAATGAACATGAGCCAGCAGTGTGCACAGGTAGCCAAGGCAGCCAACAGCATCCTGGCTTGTATCAGAAATAGTGTGACCAGCAGGACCAGGAAGGGATCCTTCCTCTGTACTTGGGTGAGGTCGCACCTCGAATCCTGTGTTCAGTTTTGGGCCCCTCACTACAAGAAGGACATTGATGCACTGGAGCATGTCCAGAGAAGGGCAACGGAGCTGGTGAGGGGTCTGGAGCACAAGGAGGGAACTGAGGGAGCTGGGGTTGTTTAGTCTGGAGAAAAGGAGGTTGAGGGGAGACCTTATCACCCTCTAAAACTGCCTGAAAGGAGGGGGTAGCGAGGTGGGGGTCAGTGTCTTATCTCAAGTAACAAGCAATAGGACAAGAGAAAAAGGCCTCAAGTTGTCCCAGGGCTGCTTTAGACTAATCTAAAGTCTAAATATATTAGGAATATATTAGGATATTAGGAAAAATTTCTTCACTGAAAGGGTTACCAGGCACTGGAATGGGCTGCCCAGGGAAGTGGTGGATTCACCATCCCTGGAGATATTTAAAAGATGGGTAGATGAGATGCTCAGAGACATGGTTTTAGTAGTGGACAGGTTACGGGTGGACTCAGTGATCTTAAAAGTCTTTTCCAACCAGATGATTCTTTGAACTGCAGAATGTCCAGACTTCACCAGATGGTGTACAAGTTCATCTAATACCTCAGTGGTATTGAAGTTACAATTCATGGTTGTCTTCAATACTTCAGAATGATCATTCTTTCAATATTCTGAAGGGTTTTGTTAAAACTCTCAATATTCTCTTGATTTTTTAAAAATCATTTTAAATTGTCTAAATTGTCTACATTTAATTAAATCTAATGCTTCTACCAAAGAACTCCCACCAACCAACCACTGCAATCGTAAATTATGAAGGAAAACAAAATAACATCAAGAAAAAAAAAGAAGATGGAGAATTGTTGATGAGTTACCTCTGCAACTTCTTCAGCACTTTGTCCCAGACTCTGAAAAATCTGTTTGTAATTTTTAAGGTAAATGTTAGTAAACATCTCAGCTGTTTCCTTGTCTGCAGCTGAAAGATCCATTTTCATTCCATCTTCAAACACTTTTCTTTCAAACTCAGTAACCACGGGGCCTGGTTCAATCAAACTTAAGCTGTACAAAACGCAAAGATACACTGGTTATTGACTGTCCTCTGTAGGAAATAGACCTCTCCTTCTCAAAAAAGGATATTGGAAGAGTTGCACTGCGAGTGCATGTTAACAAGCAGCATTAAACAGTGCATTCTGTAAAGGCAATCCATACTGCATTATTGCTTTCATGCTCCTACCCATCCACATGTAGTGGTAGAAACCGGCATAGCTTAAATTCCAGGGAACTGCAGCACTTAATTCATGGCAGAAGTCAGGGCAGTTGCTACTTGCTGTCTCACAGCTGTGGAATCTAAGGATGATTTATCCACAAGAACTTATAAAATACTAAGGAAAATAATTAATATTGTCATCATCCTTTACTTTGTGGAAAAAATCCCACATGGATTTCTTTTTGATAGCTTCCCCATGGTAATACTAGAAGTAGCTGAGACAGGGGGGAATTGAGTGGAGCATCTCCCTTGAGTGGAGCATCTCCTGCTGAGGAGTGACTGAGGGAGCTGGGGCTCTTGAGCTTGGAGCAGAGGAGACTGAGGGGTGCCCTCATTCCTGGGGATCCATTGGGAAAGGGCAGTGTCAGGAGGAAGGAGCCAGGCTCTGCTCTGGGATGGCCAATGCCAGGACAAGGGGCAATGGTCCCAAGCTGGAGCACAGGAGGTTCAAGCTGAAGATGAGGCCAAACTTTGTGAGTGTGAGGGTGGCAGAGCATGGCCCAGGCTGCCCAGAGAGGTTGTGGAGTCTCCTTGTGTGGAGACACCCAAAGCGTTACATGAATCAAGATCCCCCCACAATTCTATAATAAAATACAATGTAGAAAACTTTACTGTGGGTGGATAGATTTTGGCTGCTGCCAAATCTGGAAAATGTTATTTTGCTCAGAAGCATATTATAGCAAATCACCAAAATACAGTTACTGCTCAGTTCTTTCCCAGTTCTTTTCTTGGGCAATAATTACTCCCAGCCACTATGTTTTTCAAAACACTTTTTGGGAGAGAACCTCTTCCTAGACTTGAGTTCTGATCGGGCTCTTCTTTGGAAATAAATCAAGCTATTGACCTTGATGGCAGAATTCCAGCTGCTGCTAGAATTGAAGCCTTTTCTCTTGCGTCACTGCTCTTCACACCGGACCTTGAACTTTTCCCATTCTACTTTCTTTTTTTAACCTCCTTTTTGCTGTATCTTACACTCTTGAAATCTTACTATGAATCCTGTGTGTCATTACAATATATTTAATTTAAATCCCTCCAGACTTTTCAGAGCGGTATGCAAAATGACAATTTGGATGCCGCTTTGTGTCTGAAAATCCCATGAAAGCAGCTCTCTCTTCTCCCACAACATAAGGACTAAACGCTTAGGCACACAGAGATGCGATGGATATTTAACAATTGTTGGACTTCACACAGAGAAGAAGAGCAGAATTACACAAACGTGAATATACATGTGACAAATCAAACCCCAACGTCCCACAGAATGCCAAGACCATGCCACACTCTTCTCAGTTTCCTCTCACCTCCTGTCATTACAGGTGTCTTGCCCTATGTTTCATTCTGATGGATTTCCACTTGATCTCTCTCCACAATGAGCCCTTGAACATTTTTATCTGTGAATTGCCTAAGTTTATCCTTTCTAAAGGAAAATATTACCCATGGATATTACAATTTTACTCCTATGATACTGTATAGAATAATCTGTTTGCAGAAGTGTTACATAAATTGTATTTTATCCAAAGCTAAACAGCCTTTAACTGTTCAAGAGAACACGTTTATTTTAGCATCTGGATCTTTTTAATTGTAGCAGTACACACTACATATGTAGTGTGAAGAATGTGGACAGTTCTATGCCTTTTGTGATGCACGATTTCCATACATCCTCAATCTGTTTCTCCTAGATAGCATCAAGCTTTAAAAAATTATTTGCTAGCTTTGAATATATATCAGACTATCTAAAATACAATTTACATCAGTGGGTCAATACTTACTGCAGTTTGAACTTGAGGGCTTGTATAGCTAAACTTTCGCAGAATCCTTCCACAGCAAACTTAGATGCAGCATAAACATCATTAAATAAGATACCTGATGGTACAGACAAAACATCCTAAGAATGCCATTGTATTCAACATACCAATAGTTTCGTTTTAATAGTATTTTCTCCGAATTTCTACAGTTTTGCTGGGAAAATATTAGAAAAACCCTTGTGTATACTGAATGTAAATACTCTTTTTTGGCATATATTCTCAGAATTGCTCATTCTAGGAAAGGGTGCTTGACTACTGCTTTTCCTCCTCCTAGCTGATGCTGTGATCTCTTTGGATATTAAATATTTTGTAGTCTAAGATATGAGAGTGTCTGTGCATACAATACCATCTGCATTATTTATCAGTAAGACTTCAATATAGATGAACACAGAAGCGATCCAACGTGCATCTGAGTGATTTTAAAATAAGTACTACCTCAGTCCATTTAGGTCTATGGTAAATATTGCAGTTTGACTTAGGACCCTCGCTCACCAGAATACTCCAGGTAAGATCAATGCCACTGTTGTTGTAATTGAAACAAATACAGGTAGACCAGGTGGAGCACAAGAGTAGGAGCATCGTTATCTGTCGGTAAAATGAGACCCTGGAGTTTTATGAGAAGAGAACCTTCACAAAAAGGTGGTACAGTGGTCCAGGACATGATTGGATTTTATTCCTTTATTACTGTGCAGAGTGTAGCAGGCATGTTTGCCTGTTCCCATAATCGTTTCCAATGGGAAAGAGAAAAATGGTGTGAAGCCACATTTTCCAGATAATAAAAATAATAAAAATTTAATAAATAAATAAATAAAGTTTGAGTTAAAACAAACAACCAACCAAAAAAAGAATTCACTCTGCAGGTTTTGTTGTTAAAATGTCTTCAGAGTAGTTGTGGAGTAACACACTGTCTAGATGCCTGAAAACCATCAGGTCTAAGTGCTGTGTTTTTTATAGTTGGAACTTCAGCATTACAAAGCTCAATAGATAGATATGCTAGCTTGTAATTTTTTTCCTCAGATAAAAAGAGGTAAGCTTTAGATTTTGAATACTGAACTCTTAGTTCAAACAAACAAAAAAACCCCCAAAACCCCCAACTTTACCTTGTATTCCCATCACACTGCTTATTATAACTATGTGCCCACTCTTTCTCTTCTTCATGTCAGGCAAAATCTCCTTCAGGAGTCGAACCAGTCCAAAGAAGTTGGTATCCATCACAGTTTTCATTTCATCTATGGTCTGACATTCAATAGGTCCAATGAGACCCATTCCAGCGTTGCTAACTGCACAAAACAGAAGACGACGGTGAGCAATAACCCCCATAAACATTAACTTGCAATCTTTACTGGACAGCATGTGAAAGTAAAATGAGGATTAAGGATTAAATGATCCTTTAATAATCCTTAAAGAAAGGATTAAAAGATGCTATTCTGTCACTAGAGCTTTACAAATACACTTGGCATTCCCATATGTTTTTATTTTTCGTTATGCTTTTAAACCAATTTAAATTATCTGATATTTTGCATTTGAACTAGTTTATTTCTGATTAGTCCTTTTTCTTTAATTTATAAAAGGATTACAGGAAAATGAGCCAAGAATTGTTTATATTTGTTTATAATTCAGTATTAAGAATGAGAGGCTACAGTCAATACCCATAAGAATGAACAGAAGTCTTCAATTTATTCCAAAAGATGATAGACCAGGCCATATTTTGGTCTGCTTTTCGTTTTGTTAACATTCACATCTTCAAGAAAATAAATCCCAGAACACACCCTTCCATTGATTTTTATTTGCCTCTTGGATATTTATAAGTGGGGAATGATTGCTAGAACTAGCATTCTGCACTACTAACATGTCAAATTAGAGTAGAATACAGTCTGCGGAAGCAGTTTGTTAAGTGGTGCTTTAATAATTAATCAAAATAAAGGCAGGTCCGTAATTTTCTGTTGGAGAAGATTTAATGGCTGATAGCATAAGATATTAAAATTTATTTTTAGCCAAACAGTATGAAAAAACTCCTTGGTGAATGACTTGTAAAGTACAATTCTCAATATAAAATGAGAGTACCCTTACTTCCTTTACATTTGCTCTTTTACTTGCCAATTCCCAAACGCTCTTGCTCGCTTAGTACAGAGCTGTTGCTATTACTTGCCTAGGACATCAATCCTCCTGTCAGGGATACTGTTCACACACGTTTTAATAGACTCTTCATCACAAACATCCAGTTGTTTAATTTCAAGGGTTTTGCCCAGCCTGCGACCTGCAGCTTCCTCGAGTGGCTCTTTCTTGGCCAGATTCCGCATTGTGGCATACACTGCAACACACCAGAACAGTTATCAGAAACAAAACCTTTTCTGCGGCTGCCTTACTTAAAAAAATATTAAAGAATATTGCTTTTACATATATATCTTAAATATCAGTGATGGAGCCCAAATAAAAACGTAAAACAGAATCTATTTTCAACATACACTGTCACTGATTTCCCAGAGTCCAGAGTTCTGAAATCTTCAGGAAATTCAAAGGGAGAATTAAACCACTATGCACATGAAGAACATGAAGCGTATGAAGAGAATATTATCACTTAAGCTTTAAATAACGAGTATCAAGTTATGCCACTAAATATATATACCTAAAATATATATATTTTATATTAATAAAACTTTATACCTAAAACCTAATTTTGGATTTCATATCTTTTTTGTTTCTTTTCTTTTTTTTAAGGCACTATCAACTGTTTAGCAGAACAGCCATAATTTTATTAAAAAGTGGAAGACAAAGGCTTTCTTACATTGCAAAAATTGACATCTTTGCAAGCTAC